AATTAAATATATAATGTTTTTGGATAACCTTTCCAGCAAAACAAGGTGCATGTATAACACTGAAAAAAGTTTGAAAAGTCCCAACCAAATTGAACAAACACTGAGATCATCTTAAATTACAGTAAATTTCATGTGGGCATGGATGTTTTTTATAGAAATTACTAAAAAATTATACCCTGGAAATCTCTTGAGTTTTTGCTGGTTGCTTTAAATCATTGGCTGATTTACTGCCAAGTTTCGGTTAACCTGTTGTAATTGGTCAGGTTATCTTCAACTGTCATTTGAAATTTACTAAACATAGTACGTATAACAAAATACATTCATGCTGTTATGTAATTTGCCTAGAAATTAAAATAGAGAGTAAGAAGGAAAAAGATATTTGCCAATTTACAACTAGGTGTCTTATTTGACAATAAATCGACTGATTAATTTTTATGTATGCACCCTTCCCTCAACATGACACCTACATGTATGATACATTGTTTAATTGTAAATAACCTTAATCTTATTGGCTATTTGTAAATATATTTGGCATACGCTTACACGGGGAATGGAACACCGTCAATTGCTATGGATTCTAGAAGCAAACAATTTCATGTTGCTGTAATCAGCAAGGGTGAAAGACAACAACAAGCAGAGCTGAGAGAGCAGGGGCAATAGACAGTGAGAAGAGGTGAGTGATGAAGGGCAATAAACAGCGAGACGAACTAACTGAGGAAGGGAAATAGACAGAAAAAAGAGCTGAGTGAGGAAGGGCAATAGATAGTGAGAAGAGCAATAGACAGTGAGAAGAGCTCAGTGAGGAAAGGAAATAAACAGTGAAAAGAGCTGACTGAGGTAGGGAAAGAGACAAAGAAAAAAAGAGCTGAGTGGCAAAGGACAATAGACAGCAATTAGAGCTAAGTGAGAAAGGGTAATAGACTGAGGAAGGGCAATAGACAGTGAGGAGAGCAATAGACAGTGAGAAGGGCAGAGTGAGGAAGGGCAATAGACAACAAGAAGAGCTAAGTGAGCAAGGGCAATAGACAATGGGAAGAGCTGAGTGAGCAAGGGCAATAGACAACGGGGAGAGCTGAGCGAGCAAGAGCAATACACAGCGGGAAGAGCTGAATGAGCTAGAGCAATAGACAGTGAGAAAAGCTGGCCAAACAGGGAAAACAGACAGCGAGAAGGGCTGAATGAACAAAGACAACAGACAGCGAGAAAAGCTGAGTGACAAAGGGCAATACAGCGAGAAGAGCTGAATGAACAAGGGCAATAGACAGCAAGAAAAACTGAGTGACCAAGGGTGATAGACAGCAAGAGGAATTGAAGTATGAGCACATCTGTGGGAATTGTGTGCAAAAGTGACGAAAACAAAAAAGAGAATGGCGTGAAAAGGCAATCTTTCTGATTTATCTTCTTTCAGTTTAGAAATGAATACAACTATTAAAACGCTTTGGATCAAGGAAATCAAGAGATTACTAAATAATAATTCACAGACTATAAACATTAAACTGAATTCAATGTGAAGGGATTTTTTTTCTTTTTTTTTAAAGAAAATCGATTTGAAGCAAGTCATCAAATCTCCTTTAATTGAGTAGAAGATTTGTTTCAGCCCCTTGAAGACCTCTGTTCGTTTAAGAACAGAACACCACAGATAGTTTTAACTTGATTACCATAGTAACGGACATGTAACATCTGGAATTTTAGCAATCTCATTAAGAAGATGGGAAATGAAAAAAAAAATATGGAAACGAGTGAAAAAAAAATGAGGAGGATTAAAAGATTGTCTTATTTGCAGGCAGTTATGATTGCTTTTCCACTAATTGAGCCTCAAACATGTGAGGAATAATATGTATGTGTTAATACGTTGAAATGTACCAGTTGAGGCCATAGTGAAAGAAAAGAAGAACGAAAGAAAAGAACGAAATGATGAGGCTTAGTAATACGGGAATCCAGTATTTTAAAGTCGACATGAGATGTGATTACTCTTTTTCTGAGGCTTCATCAGCCTCGCAGCGATGACCAAAGATTTATTCATTAAGAGGATGGGTCTTAGTTCGAATCAACTTTAGAATTTTTACCAATGCTCATCAGCCGTCACCTTTATTATTTTCACCTTAAAAAAATGTTTCTGTACTGTCATCCACCTCAACACACTTAAATTAAAGAGCGTACATACTAACATTCAACGAATAATCCATTGTATGCGTATCCTTTCTTCATTTGAATCTTATACAAGTGTCTACTCTAAAATCCAAAGTAGTAAAAGTGACAACTCTGTTGCAACAACGCCGTGCCCACTAATAAGCACTATTGCAAATAGGTATAAATGTTTAAATGGCAACCAGGGCTGGCTACTTCAGTGAACTACCATGTGAATTAATCAGTATGTGAAATTTCAACCCCCCAAAAAGAAGTTAATTGCATGCAACCCTTGCTAGGGGAAAGCTGGCTTTTTCATTAACAGTCTTGCTCAAGATTCCGAATATCAGCTTTATTCAAGTCTCCAGAGGGCTCTCTCATTGTGGGGTCTACAAATAACTCCAAGCTCATATAACAGTCTTTTCATAACTCTAAAGATATTCCTTGCAAAATAATTTGTTTACTATGCATTAGGCAGTGAATATAATCCCCAACTCTCAAAAGAGAAAAGCAAAGATGGCTGCAATTTTTGCTTCATGATATTAGTGTGCAAGACAGTTGCTTCTCCTCATTTTTTATGTGATATTTTCAAACCAGTGCTCAGCATATTGATTAATCAATGAAATACATCCATTCCCACACCCCCTGTGATTTTTAATTCTTTGGTACTGTTTTAATGAATCAAATAAAAGATAAGAAAAAATAGCGAAAGACATTACTCATCAACAGGTGGCTGCATTTGAACTCTTTGAATTGCATAAATTTCCCCGCTAAAATATTGGTGTTATATCTTACTAATTTTACTGTTTCCTTTGTTAAAGGGCGGTGTGTCATCGTGCCTCGTCCTGTTCGATATGGGACTCATAGTGACATACACAATATGTGTGAAATACATTGCTTGTTTACATGAAATTCAAACAAGTACTCGTCCTGCATGACCACAATTGCCCTTTGATTTTGAAACAAATGAACAAAATTTCCTATTGGCTGCAAGTGTTGATTAAAATCTGCTCGGCCTTATCTGAGAAATCAAGTAGCAAGTATCAAAGACAGGATGTAATTGTTATATTTTGTTTATCAAATCATACACAAAATATATATATGCGTTGTATCAGTTAAATGCATTTGTGCCTGGTGATAGATATATGGGTAACAACATGAATGTATAAGATAAAAATATGCAACTTTTAAGATCTATGGATGGTACTATGTAGTATCCCGCGTACATATCAATTGAGCGCATTTCCAACCAGAAAAAAGAATACAGTAGATACCGGTACATGAAAAGGTCCGATTACATGAACAGAAATGATCAAGATTACATTGTATTCAAAAGTGCAGTATGTACATATTACATGTGAATATGTAAGGACACTAGCAAAACAGTCTGAGACTAGTTTTTTAACAGACTCACTCATTTGCATTAGAAGCCGCATCCTCTTAGAAGTTGCACCCATTCTTTTTGAACAATGGAGAACCAAAAATTCATCATTTCTCATATGTGTAGATACTCAATTAGAAGCCACATCCCCTCTGTTGCATTGTACCATTTTAATAGAAACCACAGCATCTACCGGTAATATAGATTTGACAGTATCTCTAGAAATATATAATGCTTTTTTATTTTTTGATCATCTCACAATTTGTGTGACTTCTTCAATTCTTACAAGCTCTTCATCACATATCATATCATATGATACAATATTACTTGTTGGTGTTCT